AAAAGAACTTTCTACAGTGTTAAGCTCTTCTTCAACGTTATCGGTCGAGCAGATCCTTTTCGCCGTCTGTGCCCAACATCGCACTTAGTTACGCTTAGAGTTTAGCGGTACAAATATGCTCAAGAAATTATAATCGAGATGTACCTAGAATGTGCACAGATAGTTGGACGGAGTAGGTAGGAGTTCACCCCTTGGATCGTTTCTGGCTTAGATAAAACTTTGCATATCAGTACAGGTCTATGCTTTTGCCTCAGAAATTGGAACTTTTGACAGTAAATCCCGTGAATGGTCACATAGGACCTTCATCCGGCTGGGAAAGCATCCAAAGTGATGCCTTACTCAAACAAGTGGGAGCATATTACAAAAATAAATTTCAAACCTTCCTTCCTTCTGAACGGCCCCTTCAGGTTTACTCGGCTTATGATGCACAGCTATACGAGACATTCAAAGTAATTTTAAACCACCTAGAAAAATGAACTGACAAATGGTGGGGGCAGTTTATGAAGATCATCTGAAACTGGAGATGCCGTTCGTTTTCAAAGATGCGCTGCCTATCTATTCTTCACAGCTGGACTAGAACTGGTCTTGAAGGCAACTGCTGAGAAATCTAACCCTCCCGTAGCAGGAATCCTACTGTAGTTGTTATTGGTAGTATTTGCGTTCTTAATAGCACCACAAAGATCACTAAGTTACCTTCGTGTTATTAAAGCCCTCAGCAAAGAGCGTAATTTCAGCAATCATTGTGGAGTCGGGAACGACCATGGCGATAGGTCGAAACATGGACTTCAAGTTATCCGGCAATTCAGTTCGTCCAGCGTAGCCGGGATTCATTGTGATGAAGATGCCACAGGACCAGACTAGTTTGATCATTCTACCCTCAAACATGAAGCGGATGTCTTCAGGTGTGCCCTGGTTCTTGGGCATCGAGGCGAGCGCCGAGAGGACGGCCAGAATCTGTTGAGCCACCACAGACAACACCTCAATGTTGATTCTGGAGAAGGAACAGTTGGAAGTAGTAAGTATTCATTCAAAACAATGTACTCAACTTCCGCTGGGGGTGATTGTCATGGAAGTCATAAATAGAATCAGTGGGTATGCAACATGTCTCTATTTATAAGTGTGCATTATTACTATAAATCGGATTGGACGCACACATTTATTGGCACTTCAGACCAAACTGTTAGGACGGTAGCCTGGCCAAAGACTAGCAACCTTGTCGGCTCTCCTAAGGCGTCGTGCCTGCCGCCGACCGCCAC